CTCGGAAACACCTGAGTAAACAAGACTACTCGTATCAGGACAAGTCCCTGAACATTTCGACTGCCTAGTAACTTAGCAATTATGAGAAACAGCCTGCTTCACCCAATTTTGAAGGAATTTTAAGACGTATTAAATCGCCCCTTACGCGTTAATGGCGCGAGATATATTACACATTAATTGTCCCAAGTCGGCAATCCTTAAACCAAAAAAAAATAAAAAACAAGAAAACTTTTTTGAGGCACTTGGATTTTTTATTTGCTCAGTTTCGAAAAAAAAATAAAATAGCTTAATGTTTTGAACAAAATGGTTCAAGTTTTGCGACGAACTTATCTTTTTAGTCAATTTTTGTTTTGTTGCTAATTACATCAGCAAGAAACTTTTCGGATATCCCGAAGTACAGCTCTGCAATACAAAGCCAAACTGTGCACTATATAGAAGCACAATTTTGTGTCTGTATGTTCCTGGTGGATTCCAGAGAAGACTTTAATCATGTTAAATTACTGTCGTAACAATCAAAGGAAATGAAGGAACAAAAGAAGAACAAAGGGAGCGTCCTTGTTGCGGAATTCGCTCACAGTTCACAAAATGCATAGCTTGTATTGCACTTTGTGAGCAGACACCTTCTCTGTTAGTGCTTCAGAATAGTTTGGTTACAATTTTTTTAAAAGCTAAAAATAAATGAAATTAAGATAAAGTTATCTTAGTCGGTAAAGATGCAGGCTCTTAGTTCTTGTCATCAAATTAAAATGATTGCAAATGAAACGAAAAAAAAATGAAGAAAAGAATTCAAAAAGCTGAATTAAATTTTTTACACGCCCATATCCTGCACACGACGGATATCTAATACTAAACAGAGGCTTGGTATAACAAAAGATAACGCACACAGACACACAGAAAGTTGTTTATGGAAATGAACAAATTATCTATGCAGCAGTCTTAACTTTCAGCAAAAATTCAATACAACATCTTTATTTGACAGAAGCTTCTGGAGACTTTTGAAGATCATAGCTTTTTTTGGAAAGTTTTCTTTTATATAGATTTTTGAGCTAGGAAAGTGCTGTTTAAATTATCCGGACAAACAAATAAGGCTTGCTTGAAAATGAAAAGTTTTTTTTCTCAAATTTGGTTTGATATTAGATGAAAAAATATCACGACAAAACATGCCTAAAGTTTTGGCAGAGTTATTATGGTGCAATTTGTTTTGCGAAGTTCGAACCGAAATTTTTGCCCCAACAGCGGATCATTTTTGGCGTTTTTAATCAATTAAGAATTAGGCCAACGCTACTCTGTCAGTCACTGTGTAGCCCAACAAACTTTAAAAAATTACTCAAAGTGTTTCAAAATCGATTTTAAAGAAAAAATTGGTGTTTTATATAGGAAAAACTAAGTTTTTTTCTATCAAATAAAAATAAAATTCTTTATATTAAGTTGACATGATTAAACTATTCTTAACAAGTATTCAGCTATAAAAAACTTACTATGATATAGTTTTGATGGCACTTAAATTGATGGTTTTAACGTTAATTTTGATCCGCTAAAAAGCCAACAATGATCTTTTTTGAGTAAAATTTTAGCCCGAATTTTGCAAAAAAAACTGCACCACTTTCTTCATTCTGCCAAAATTCGAAAAGAAATTATTTCTCGTTATCTTTTGCTTCAACTCAACCCAACATCAGACGAACTTGTTGTAAAACTCAATTTTCTATTCGTTTTGTTTGGATAATTTAATCTTCAAATTTATGTAAATCCTTGAAGACTGAAACCTAATTTTTGTAAAATTTTCCTATGTTTTATTTGTTTATGTAAAAATCACGCCAACGCTACTGTGTCAGTTTTTGTCAGGTTTGTATCAAAGTGAACTTCATACGTAGCCCAACAATTTAAGAAAAGTAAACTTTCCTACAAAATTGCGCCAAATTATTGAAAGTTATTTCTAAAAAAAACATTGGTGTTTTTTAAAGTAAACACGATATTTTTTGCTTATAACGAAAAATAGTTTTATTTTTACAAGAAAGAGCAGATGATAGCATTCTCAAGTTTTGTTGGGCTACTTAAGAGCCTTTTATGATAAAACTTTGTTGGCAATTGAACCAATGCTTTTGACGTAAATTTTGATCGACTAAAAAATCCAAATTTGCCCTTCTTGGGCTAAAATGTTGGGCTCGAGTTTTGCAAAAAAAACTGCACTATAATAAATCTGTTTAACTTCTAAGCAACTTTTGCCCTCGTCATCTTTTGTCTTATATCAACTCAGTTTAAAAAAAAACGCATTTTGAATTCAAACTTTATTCGTTTTGTCCAGATAATTTAGATGAGCACTTAGATTTTGCACGCTGTTAAGTTTGATTCATTGCTGAAATTAAAATCACGTACCCAATCAAGTGTGAAACCATTTTTTGTTAAATGTTTCTGTTTTATTTGTTTCTGCGTAAATCACGGATTACTTGTGTTCAATTAATTTTCTAGAAGATTATAGGTTTGTATCACAGAGTATTGCACATCCGCGGAAACAACTGAAAGTCTAGAAAATGCTTTTTTGTTCTTCAGAAAAGAATCATTTCCGGACGGTTCTTGTAATTTCATACGTAATCCGTTGAAATAATTTGCCGCAATCCAAACTGACATTGAAGTTGACTTGGTAGGACACGAAAACAAGTACGATAGAAAAATTTCTACAAATGTCAAACTCTTTTTAGAGCCGAGGAGCTAATCGTTTCGGTTTTTTTTTCATGAGAAAAAAATATTTTCAGAAGGAAGAATTGCTTGCCATTGCGATAATCTAAAATCATTTTAGAATTGGCGCAATTTTCATCAAGCTGGCAAAAAGAAGTAATTACGGAAAAAAAACAGGTTACGCTTTCGAGTATCAACGAAAATTGTTAAGAGAAGACATGACGGTGATGATGCATTGATTTCTTATGACAAGTTCAGTCCACCATGTCGAGAAAGTAAGGAAGAGAATGAATGCGTGGCTACGCAAAAGTCCATCTTTGACCTTGTTGTTGTTCCGACTTTTGAAGAACGTGACGGAATGTTTGTGCTCGGGGTGGTTTTTTTTCTCCAGATAAATTTTCAAATTTCGACTTTTTATCTAGCAATTTTAGAAGAAAGTGTAAAAAATCGCCTGAAAATTATTGTTGTCATGAGCTAAAAATTAGAACAATATTTCACCTGGGATTATTTTCCAAAAGTTATGGTGGTTTAAAGATTGCCAATTTGAACAATTAGGGTCAATCAAGGCGTAGTATATTTCCCGCTGTTAACAAAGCCGCGATGTATTCCGTCTTAAAAATTGTTCCAAATTAGTTTAAGCAGGCTATTTGTTATTACTGCTTTGTTAAAACGTTATTGCGAGCTTGCAAACACAAAATAGGACACCACCACAAAATAGGACACCATCGCCACCGGTGACTTTAAAGCAAAATTATTTTTTAAACTTGCGAGTTATCGCTTTCCCGAAATTTTGCGAGTTGTCTTTTGCTGCGAGTTGTCTTTTGCTGCGAGTTGTCTTTTGCTGCGATTTGTCGCGGTACCTCAGAGATTGCCTGCAATGTTGAAATATAAATTTGGGAGAATTCCTATAAAGATAACTAGTTTTAAATATTTCATTCGGCGCTTGTTTGGCAAAAAAAATTTTTAAAAGTTTTTCTTTATAAATATGGTCGAAACATTCTGCGCTATTTGCACAGCAACCAGCCTTCAGTTTTTAAAATGCTTTTGGTGAATCCTTTTTTCTATTTTTGCTTTCAGCAATTATCTTGAATTAAATCAGTGGTACTTCGAAAACTTCTGGTGGTTTATTGTTCCAATTTTCGATGAAAAGGATGAGAGTGACGAACTATTTGTTCTCGGGGTGATTCTTTTCCTCCAGAAAAATTTGAATTTTTAACTAGCAATTTTTGAAGAAAATTTATAAATTTTTCAAAAAATATGAATGCCTTGAGCTCAAATTATAAAAAATTATTTCGCATGTGATCATTTCTTGTGAAGTTATGGGGGCTTAAAGATTGCCAGTTTGGTACAAATGAAGCACGATACAACTCGTGTTATTAATCTGGGTTGACCTTTGCTCAAAAAAAATATTAGTCAAACATTTTTACAAATGGAGCTATTGTTAAAAATCTAGTCATACTAATTCGTACTATAAAAATTGTATGACTTGCATGATTTTTTAAAAAAAAATAGTGCTCTCTTCGATATCAACAAAAGTTTTATAAATTACATTACAGGATGTTCAAAACTGATACCCTAAATTTAAGGCTAATGGAAATGACTTGGGAGACCAAAAAATCCAGAAAAATATTTGATAATATGAAAACTGTGTGACTGGATTTAAAAAAAAACAAAATCGAGGAAAAAAATTTTTTTTATGATTTTTTTAATCGCAAAAAAATTTTTAGGTATAAAAAAAACAATTTCGAAAAAAAACTTTTTTTGCATGCAAATTTGAAAGTTTTTGTCCATTAATTAAATGAAGGCCGGTTAAATATTCAGGCCTTCTGCATGCTGTTTTTTGGGGTCTTTTCTGTTATGCGGCCCAAAACTGATTATTTAAATTTTTGATCAAGCTGTACTTTTTTCGATGCTTTGATACAACTTATCAAATTGTTCTCGAAATTAATTTACTAATAAACTCGGATGTTTCCGTTTTTTTTCTTGAAATTTTACTCAATTTATTCGTTATTCCATTTGAGTCAGTTAATTTCATTTCGATACCAACACTTTTGACCTAAAAATGTCAGTTTCTAACGCTCAAATCCGATTCGATTTTTTAGTAATTGGGTTTCCAAGTCGCTTCTGTTTTTTGAGCAAGGTCACTTTGGTCATCACACTTTGTCAAGTGCTTTCTGTTTTTCTAATCAATTCTGAGTTGAATCAAGAGCTTGACATATTTTGGGCAAACGGGATGTTTGATTGCATGGGGCAAATATTTGAATAGTTTTTGGAGACTCATTTGATGAAATATCATGCTAGTACATTTAGCAAATCAGCCACGTTGATTTGAAGCTATTAGACTAACCAATTCATTTCAAATGTCAAATAGTTGCTCTTATGCTTCAGAATCCATCATAACTAAACTGCATTAGTATGACTTAGCAACTATTTGTGTCTTTTTATACAAATCAAATTATTCTCTTTTTATACAAATCAAAATAATTTACTAATAAACTCTGCTGTTCCCGTTTTTTTTTTCAATTTTTTACTCAACTTACTCGTTTTTCTAACATTTTAATCAGTTAATTTTATTTCGATACCATCATTTTTGACACAAAAATGTCAGTTTCATCAATAGATTTTTCTGCACCCGCTGTGTTTCATTTTCCTTTTGATATTTCAAGTCCAAACTCTCAAATTCCTAAACTACTGGACCGATTAGTGTATACTTTGCTAAACTTTAAGACTGATAGCGCTGAAATATTCCAATCAATTTTTGATGAAGACCCGAACTGCTTTGCGGGTCAAGTTATACTAACTGCCGCTGAGTTAACCGAAAGCTTTACGGGCAAAAGTATTGAAGAAAACATTAAGAAATGTCACCAATTAGCCGACAAATTAGGCAGCCGAGTGACGGATTGGGAAAGCAGATGGTACAACGCAGTTTACACGTTTAAAACTATTTCATGCCGCCAGGGATGTCATATTTTGATGGATCTTTTAGCCGAATACCCATTCGATCTAATTGCTGTGATAATCGGAATGTTCTGGGCATTTTACTCTGTGGATAAATTCATAATGCGGGATTTAATTGGGAGAGTTTTGCCTTTTCATCCCGAATCACATCCGTATAGAGCGTTACTTGAGAGTTTATATGGGTTCGCTTTGATGGAATGTTTCGCTGTTGATCGAGGTATTGGGGATAGATTGCAATAGAAGATAAAGAAGATGATCTTGTTATTTATTTCCCCCTATTGCAATAGGGGGGATAGTTACCAAGGTACAAAGCTTGTAAATGGTCAACTGATCGAGTCTTTCTTAAACGGGGGGATATTCGTAACAAGGTACCATAAGGGGGGATAGTTAACAAGATCCAAAGTAGAAAACTCTTCAATTGCAGTTCCGATAGTACAAGGTTGCGCTCACAGTTATCATTAGAGGAAAACCTTTTTCAGTATTTTATCAAGGAGGGGGCATTTCAAACTTCAACTCAAAAATAGGTTGTTTTATGCAAAACTGGTCGAACACAAAAAAATCAGCTAATTTTTGATTTTGTTTTACAGCAGAGTTTTTGAGTACAGGAAAATTCGAGGCCAGTTGGCAAACGAATGAAACGAATTTTCACCTATAAACAAGTTGATTTTTTTTAGCCATTCCTAAAAACAAAAAACAAATTTTATAAATAAACAATTCCAAAACGTTCCAGGTGCATGAAGTTTTAGAACAATAACAGTTTTTTCGTGTGTTTATAAATCAGTAGCAAAGATTAGGTTCCTGCTATAATTACATCTTAAAAATATCATAAAGACAAGACAATAAAATTGCAATCAATCAAACACAGGTTCCAAACTGGTCGAAAGAGCGTTCCAGAAGGATCCCAGACATCCCTGGATAATCCATGCCGAGTGTCACTCTCTGGAATACAACGGAAGAACAGAAGATGCTCTTAACTTGATGAGGGATGAAGATGACTGTTATGTGGATTCAACACTCGGGTTTCACAATACCTGGCATGTAGCATATTTGCTAGCAGGTAAAACAATCAGTTTTTTCTTGGTTTTTTAGCCTGACCTGCTCCGTGAAGCAGAAAAGGTAGTCTTGCGATTTCAAATATATGGCAATTACGAAAAATCCTACAAATTTCATGCTGAAAACTTCATCAAGCGACCAGGCAAGCTTTTTGTTTTGCAAAAACATACTGGACATATAGTTTTAGAATTCAATTTACTGGCAATACTCATATAACGGAAATTGTATGACAATCCGTGTTGGAGTTCCATGAATAAACATCGATTATAATTGAGTTTGATGGTCAGTGTCCACAAAAGTGGAAAAAAATTTTTTATTATCAATTAAAACGGATTTCAATATTACTATTTTTCGAGGCAGTAAAATCCATTTTTAATCCATCCTAATAATTTTTTTCTTTGTTTTTGGACACTGACAATGAAACTCAATTATGATCAATTTTAATCCACTTTATTGAGATGCAAATTTCAACGTGCATATAGTATTTTCTACGCTTTAAATTAAAAATGGTTTCGTTTTCAATTTAATTTTTTTCTGCGCAACTTTGATATATTTTTTTTTACTTTTCTTATATTACTCAATAACTGAGTTTTGTTCCTTTCAAGAGTGTTTTTAAATTATTAGAATTTTTGAAGGGGTAAAATTGGAGGTGGATAATCCCCTTCGATTAACAAACCCCCCCTCCCCCAAGCGTTTGCCCCTTTGCCCCCTTACAACAACCCCAACGTTTAGTTCACAACTCCTCTCCCCCCAAATTACATGAACACTAAATGAACCGAACCCCCCACACACACAAACCACCATACCTGAACCAGATCAGAAGATGGGGGTTGGTTCAGGTGCGGGAGGGGGGTTGGTCCAGGTGTCATCAAAAGTTACCGAGTTGACGATTTGTCATCAAAAACTTTGACATCAAAAATTAACGATAATGGCAATAAAACGAGCGCCATGTCAGGAGGCAGAATTTTGTTGCATACAATTGTCGAGATTATATGACGCGCATGTAAAATTGGAGCTGAGAAGGTCCATAAAATTGCTCAGCTTTTAACAGCAATCATTGCAAACTTTTTGAAATTAACTTTTTATCAAAGATTTTTTCAAAATTATTTTTGGAGTCTGTAATTCGGCGCAATTTTTTACCCACCATGTAAGCTTGATGACCTCGGTATTTTCATGTTAGAATTATGAGGTGACATTTTTTCATACAGTCCTAGAAACAATTTTGAATTCATTTTCAATTTCCATAATCTTTTTATGAGTCCTTAACAAAACTTTCTCCGTTTTCCTTGCTGAATTTTTGTGTTCAAACTGACAAAAACTATTTAAAATTTTTTCAAACAATTGGTACGCCATGTTCATACAAGTTTTCTAAGATTTTTTTTAAATCTTTTTTTTTCAAATTGTTGTGAATCACGATCTGTTTTGTGCAACAGTTTCTTCTAAAACTAGCTGTCGGTAATTTAGGGTCCTTTGCGGAAGTTTTTCTTCACAAAGACATTGATAAAAGTTTGTAATACTTTTCAGTTCAATTCTGTTATCGATTCCAAAATATGATTTCCTTTTAAGCAGAGCTGCAGAAGTTGTTAGTATCGATCCGAAAAATGTTTTTCACCCAAATTCAGTTCAAATGCTTCTCTAGAGAAAGCACTAAAATTGCGTCGAACTGATGTTAAAAAGTACAGCATATTCTAAATGTGATAAAACTAAACAGTGATGCGAGGCAAGTAAAGATTTTGTGAGAAGTTGTTTTCCAATTGTATCTTTTGATTTAATTCTTTGAGCCTTTTTCTGCGAAATTGTTTGCAAATGTGCTTAAAATGACAGTTTGGATTCAAGAATAAGACTTAAATTTTCGCATTCAAAATTTTTTTCTACAATTAGGCCAATGGTTTACAATTTCTGTTTATCATTTTTTTGGGAAAAAACTATACATTTTGTTTTTCATGCATTCAATTACAACGGGTTTTCAGCAAAAACATTGTTAGCTTCAGTAAAGTTTTTCTAATAGACCAAGAGCATCCTTTGAAGATAGTTATGAAGCCTAAACTATACAGCCGTCTGCATTTTGTACCAAGGTAAGTCCATCACATAATCAAATTTGAACATCATTCTTACATAAATTGAACAACAATGGATCTAGTACCGTTCCTTGTGCCTATCTGTTTGAACTTCGAACCAATCGGAGAAAATTTTTTTAAACATTAATTCTTTGGATTCGGTCATTTAGGAAACTTTTTTTCAGTGCTTTGTCAACCGTTGGAATTCACCATACTGCGTAGCTTTTTCACTTAAGTTTCTTGAAAAATAGGGTCGAAAGCTTTTAAATGATCCACTGAAGCTGCATGAACAAATTTGTTTGGATTTTTTTTCTTGTAACATAGATAAGAATGCATGGAATCTTTCTTCAAATTCCAAGTTGAAATAACTTTTTTTCCAAATGTTCCGTGATTTGAGAATCAATTGAAGTCGAAAGGTTGAAATGAATTAAAATCGGAGCGCAGGTAATAAATATCAGTAGTTTTTAGTGTCAGTTGGTTCATCTTTTCTGAATCGTGGTGTTATTTATCGGAAAACTTTCTCATCTATACGGGCGTTATTGACAAATTTAGCTGGGGTCCAACTATTGATTTACTATCAAGAAAGAACGCGGTCCAAGGGGTTTACTGAGATGAAGTACTCAGTGTACATCATAGCAGTGCTTCACTGTTTTGGGCTGAAAGTGGAAGGGTAGAAATTGAAAAAAAACACGAGTTGTAAAACTGTGGCGCAAAAGACCAAAAAAAGTCACTTTGTTTGAAACTGAATAATTGCAAAATAAGCAATTTTAATATTTTAAATTATCATTACATTGAAGGAATTACATAGTGCCATTACATTTGAAACAATGGAACCGCAAGCGCGAACCTGTTTCTATAAATTATAAGTTTTGGCTGAAGTGCTGAGAAGTGGGTAGCAGTTTTGCGACTATTTTCCTTGCTGAATTCTGATAGCTTAGGCTTATATATCAAGGCAGATCGGGTTAGTTTCAGCAGTTATTCTTTTACTTCTGGTTTTGGTAAATTGACAGTAAAAGTTGTTTGTTTTTCGGTTCTTGTTTGCATTCTGACTCAAACCATTCCTTTTTCAGCACATTTTTTGCTTCAATTGTACAAAAGTTTTCTAAAAATATGAAGATCACATTATTAGCACTTAAGAGCAAATTTTGAGGATCGGTTAAACTGTTGCAACGGGTCTTGTATTGGTTTCTACAACCCCGTGAATAAAAAAGTAAAATATCAAAAATGAGTCAGTGAGATTGATCTTCGTTCATTTTGTTTCAGTTTCGCTGTCTAGGTTTTTTGTGGGAGCTGATGCTACCCCGTAAAATATGTCAGTTTTCCTAAACTTGCTTTTCGAGACAAAAAAATTAGACAAGCAGCAAAAAAACGAGCAGAAATTTGTAGTATGCAAAACAGAGTGGTTTTAAAGTTAAATCGCTCAAGTTTCCGAGAAAAAAAATGAATTTGTTTTTTGAAAAGTCTTCCACTGATTTCAAAAAATAGTAACCTATCGGTTGCTTGTTTGGAAAAAGGTGGACGGCTGATGGTTTTTTTTCGACTGTACAGTAACATCAGATTGATTGGCTGAAAATTTGGAATTACTGATTGAGTCTAAAAATGCGCTATAAATTTCACACTCGTATCAGAAGGATGGGGTCCATCTGTGGCTGAAAGACCAAATGATCTGTATAATAATTTTGTTATTGTCCAAAATATCCATTTCTACTTCATCTAAATCCTTGAAATTTATCGCTGATTTTAAAATCTGCTGGTTTGGTTTCTCTACATTTGCATTCAAATCCTTTCTAAAAGCTTCCAAAGGGTTCACTGTTTAAACGGACATTGCTTTAGGGGGAGATTTTATGATTTATTAAATGCATTATTTTGTAGATAAAAAAGTTACTCAGGTTTTCCTTTTCATCAGTTTCTTTATTTGCAGCCATTTATTCGAATCAGGGCTAATACAGGTTTAAATTTGCTTGATTTGCTGTTTCTCGCATGCTCCAATAATCCAGATGCTTTAAATCCTACAAAACCTATTGGCAAATATTTTGCAGATACCTGTTCGCCATTCATTCTAACAATTGAATCATCCAACAAAAGCCACCTTGATGTCCAGCTCTTAGTTTTAATTTTTGTTGTGTTCTTGTTGCTTTGGTTTATCAAATACTTGGTTGCTCATTTCTTGGTTACTTACATTTGTTTGCATTCGCTCGTTCATTTGTTTTTTTTTTATAATGTGATTTTTTTCAAAGTTCCCAGTTTTATTTCCAAAAGTGGCTTTGGAATTTTTGACAAGCCACTATTACAAAAAAGTTGACATCGAAATATATTATATTTTTCGTATTTTGTTGATGCAATCAACTTCTCGATATAAGTTTTTTTAAATAGATATTGTTTTCAATTGCCTCTTTGTTAAGTTCGAGTTTTAGGTATTTTAGTTAAACGTTAAAAATTGTGAATTTTTCGAGGTCAAACATGGCAAATAAGATAAGAAATTTTTAAGAAGGGTCTCAATTAAAATGAACCCTTCCATCATATACAGGTTGGATAGGACCATACCATCGCATTATAAATACATCAGCAAAGTCTTATGAAGAAATCAAGTCGATTTTACAGCATCATACTCGGACACAATAAAGTTTATAAGAACAAAAATAAGTTTTGCACTTCTGAGGAGTGCAATCCTCTGCCTCAGGGGTTGCAAAAAAACTTAAAAATACATCCAACATAGACAATTCTATTGGTGCTATAATCGAGGAGGGTAGATTTTAATTGACAATTCTCTGGATGCATTGATTTATTCATAAATTTTTGCGGATGTATTTATATAGCGTTGGTACGGCCCTATCCAACCTGTGCACGTATCGTCGCATGACGGAAGGGCCCATTTTAATTGACATCTTTTTGAAGGAACAGATTTTTTGCTAGAAAAATCAATTGGTTGTGAAAATATAATAGGAATATAAGGGGAAATTATAAAAGTAAATTTAAATAAGGAATATGTTTACTTCACTCATCAAAGGTATATGATAGACCCTTATTATATGATAGGCCCGTAGCCTCATATCAAGTCAGTCTTTTTCAACTTCAGTTTATTCTGTGCAGGTGTTAGTTTTCTCAATCTGGTTGGCTTGATTCCCAACCATCTGTTTCTCTTTACTTTATGCACATTATTCTTTGCTCTTCCATATCCAGGAAATTCGAGGTTTTTGACTGGATAATGTGATGACGGGACTCCTGGTTGTAACCTCCGTTACTATGATACTTTCGACCTTCCGATTATTTTAAAAAGAAAATTTAAAAAAAAAAGTAGGAACGACGGGACTTTCCCAACCTGTTATTGATTTATGTCCCTAGCTCATACGTCTGAAATTTCACAGGAAGTAAATGTGTTCAACGGCTATTTACTAAGTTTATTTAATAAGTGTATCTTAACAATTTGACTCAGTACCGTTCCGTTTATAATGTAGGTTAGCAAAGCTTATAAAAGGAAATTTGGATAAAAATATTTTCAAACATTTTCGCAACTACGTGCATTGTCAGGATATTTACAATAAACTAAATTGAATGACGATTAAGTATCATCTTACAAATATTATTTACATTATGGTTCATAGTTTTTGGTTCTTAAAAAATTAGCCAATGGCGAAAATTTAGCCCATAACAGTTGACCTCTAAAATGAGTTAAGCCTTTTTGGGTATCAGATGGTTTCCACACACATTGACCTTTGTGTCAGTACATATTTACGTACAATTCTTGGAAAGCCAAATAACCGTTTTGATCAGTTCGATGCTATATATATTTGGTGCCTGTAAGACTACTTCAGGATCCCCTTTACTGTTCTCTGACTTTACTGTTTGGAGTGCGGTCAAAAAATAGACAGTCAAAAAGTAGACAAAGTCGTGAGCTAATTATAATCGAGAGAGGAAATGTTTTGTACGTTTGTTTTCTTATATCGATTCTGATTGGCTCACGACTTTGCTACTTTATTACTCTCTTCTTTTTACTACGCGAAAACGATATATCAGCACACTGAAACAAAAAAAAAAAAACGTTTTTTTTTTTAGAACACAGCCAATATGACGAGTCTCTTGTCGTATTACAATCAAAACTCGCTGATCAAGTCAACTCAGCTTCACGGCTCAGCGACGCATGCGCTCTCCTCTGGTCACTGCGGATGTCAAGTCAAATTGTCGACAACGCTGAGTTCACGCAACTCCTTACGAAAGTGAGCGACAAAATAACGGACCATGGATGTGCGTACTTTGCTACGCATTTCGCCGCCGCGCTGCTTGGCGCCGAAGATTACTCTGGTTACAATACTTTTCGCCACTCTGTTAACAACTTCACCAGTAAATATAAAGAGCACGATATAGTTAAGAAGTACGAAGACTTCGGATTGAGCATGATGGATTCTGTGACTGCGTATTCCTTAGATGACTACTCACTGGCAACAGACAAAGTTTACAGCGTACAGGTCTGTGAACAGTTTACTGGATTGAGTTTTCAAGAGAAACTAATGATGGTTTTACCCGTTTAATGTAACACTCACTCCAATGTTTGAATAATAGATGGGGTAAACCACGAACGAAAATAATTGAAAAAGCGTCTTTGGGCCCTTTAAACAGCGCTAATTGATTAACAAGACTGTTCGTATCAAGGCAAGACCCTGAATGTTCCGACTGCCTCTTAAGGTATATGGAGCAATAATAACATGAAAAAATTGAATGTGATAAATAAAAATGATTTTTTTTTAATTTGAGATTTTTCGTGAAACTCATCCCCCCACACGCCATATAAAGTATAAAGTGATCGATTTCGCTTCTAGTAAAAAATAATTTATGGCAAATAAGCTTCCTTCCAACAATTTGGAACGATTTCTAAGACGGATTAACTCTCCGCTTACGCGTTAATAGCGCGAAATGTACGCGCGTTAATTGTCCCAAATTGGCCAAAATGGCAGTCTTTAAACCCCGTAACTGTACGAAAAATGATCACAGGTGAAATATTTTTTCAAATTTGAGATCAGGACAACAATACCTTTCGAATGATATAAAAAAATTCCGTCAAAAACGGCTAGTTAAAAAGTCGAAATTTGTCTGAAGAAAAAAAAACCCACCCCGAGCACAAATATTCCGTTACTTTCGTATACAAAGTCGGAACAATTAGTCTGTAGAAGATCACAAGTAAGTGATCTTTGTATGTTTTGTTGTTCCGCCTTTCGATACGAAAGTAACGGAATATTTGTGCTCGGGGTGGGTTTTTTTCAGACAAATTTCGACTTTTTAACTAGCCATTTTCGACTTTTTTTTATCATTCGAAAGGTATTGTTGTCCTGAGCTCAAATTTAAAAAGATATTTCACCTGTGATCATTTTTTGTAAAGGTACGGGGGTTTAAACATTGCCATTTTGGCCAATTTGGGACAATTAACGCGCGATGAATTTCGCGTTATTAACGTGTAAGCGGAGAGTTGATCCGTCTTAGAAATCGTTCCAAATTGGTTGAAAGAAGAAGCGTATTTGCCATAAGTGATTTGTTGCAAGGAGCGAAATTTATCCTTTTGTACTTTATATGGCGCGTGGGGGATGATTTTTTTTTTTTCATTTTTATTTCATTTAATTTTTAAATGTTATTACTGCCCCATAAACCTTAAAAGGCAGTCGGAACATCAGGGCTTCGCCCTGATACGAGCAGTCTTGTTTTAATTTGGTTTTTGATACACTTGAAATAAAACACGTTTCATATCAATTCGGCTGTTTTCCATTCCCGCTTAATTTTTCTGAAAATTGATTAAAGGAAGTCTTCTTAGATGACTCACGAGGTTCTAAACTACAATAAGCGTGAACAATTTTAGACAATCGTGGACAATGGAAATTTTCAAAAAACCAATTTTCTGACAGTTTTTTTTATTATTTTCAAGGAGGGTGGGCAGCTGGAAAAGAGCCCAATTTTTCTTTCTTTGTAAAGTGGCAAATTTTTATTTGTCAGGATGAAATTTTGACACTTGGTGGAAGTCAAACCCAGCGTGAGTTTTACTACAAAGTGATGTACAGTTCAATGCTGAAGATGAGAAGCAAAGAAGTTGACAGACGACTCCTCTGCTCACTGAACGAGAGAACAGGTCATCGAGAGTTGCCACCTTCGGCATTGAAAATATACGAAGGGCTGACTAAGAGCTTAGAAAGGGACGGAGAAAGTTTTTCGTTCTAGCAGCTCAAATAATTGACATAATCATTCAGTTAGAACAAGTACAAAAACTAGTAGATGTTTTTTGTTGCACAAATTTATATCTTTATTTTAAAAATGAAATTATTTGTTGATTCTGATAATCTATTTTTTCTAAATCAAATCTTTTTAAATTGAGCTTAAAAAGAACCGGTTGAATTTGGCTTGTTTTTCAAAAATCTGAAGGTGAGTTCTGATTGAGGTGTTCACGATAAAGTTAAAAATGGAGCAAAAAATAGTTTCGCAGATAAGTTAATTTCAGGGACGGATCTCCGATTTTCTCAAGCGATAAGGCGGAAAGTCAATTTAAGCAGTTTATTCAAATAGATCAGCGTTAATCAAATATGTAGGACCGATATTTTTTCGGGATTATCAAACCGTAATGGGCGTTATTCTACTCAATGTTGGTTTTTGGCCTAAATTGGGCGTTTCAACTCAATGTTGGTTTTGTCTTAATTTTTAATGAGAAGGAAGTTTTAACCGGTTTAAAGTTCATGTCAAATAAGCTTCCACCGAAAGATCTCGGGAATTGCGTTTGTTTTCATTTAGGAATTCGTCTTTTTCCAGGCTGTTTGAATTGGCGCAATTGAAAATGGAGAGGAACTTTCTATTCAGGTGTTTTTTTTTGTTTTCCACGCAAAATTAGGTTACACAAATAATCTTTGGACTGGGTTGAGTCTTGTATCATATTGAAGCCCTTTCAGTCGTGATTTGAATGACATTTGAAAAGTTCCTCAGTGCCGAGAAAAACCGGTTTGAAATAAAGCGAGCGAGCAGGCTTACATTAGCTCATATATCCTTATTTTAAGCCTCGCAAGTTTAGTTTTACTCCAGGAATGTTAATTTTTGGAGTTTCGAGCAACATTTACAGAATCAGAAACTTCAAAACGCAATCAGTTTTTTTCTAAACTGAAAAAAGATGTTGGTTTTCTAGTCATTTTTCTACAAAAACTGTTTTCCAATTTGACTAATTTAGTATGACTGTCGATACCTGCTTAGTTTCTAGTTTATGCCAAAGTTCTAGTTTTTCGTTCAGATTATTTTATCACACCACGCAGAAAAAAAACATACTTTTTGGTTTTTTTAAATACTATGATCGGAACCTTCTCTGCTGCTTGCACAGTAACCGGCAATTCTTTTTTTACATTTCTTTTTAATTTGTTCTTTGATTACGAGGCATTGTTGTGAATAGTTATTTCCTATTTTTGAGTTTCAAAATCTGCGGTTGAAGCACTATTAAATTTTTTTTAACACTAAATGCGCCTATATTACTGACTCCCACATAAGACGACTTATTCAATTTGATATAAATATTTTTCCGACCTTTGAGTGTTTGAATTTTCGATCTGGTAGTTTCTTCATTGCAGAAAGAAGTGCCATATTGAACTGCTGTTCGAAGTCGAGCGATATAATAATTTCGCTCTGTGGAAGCGGTCAAAAATTTACAGAAAATGGCTTGTAATCGGGAACTAGACTTTTTTCCTTAAGCAACTTTTCTTACACTCTCTTCTTCAATTCTGCTGACATGCTCAATTTATCGAATTTTCGCGTAAATTTTTATTTTCGTTCAGTTGAGGCAGTACTTGGTGTTTTCAATTATCTTCTGAAAAATGTTGATTTTTTTTCGGATTTGTGGTTCCTGTCTTAATTTCTGTCGGCTGATAATCCGTTTTCGTAATGCTATTTTTTTTATCTGGTGCGCTTTTCGAGCAGTTTATTTCCGAAGCTTGGGTTGTTGAATTTTTTATTGTAACGGTTCTTGTTTGGTAAAAAAAGATATCGTGCAAATGTATGGGGTTTGCTTTTGATTTTTTTAAATACAATTTGGAAACTATTTTCAATTTACTTAAAAGTATTACTTCTCACAACTACCCTAACGACTTTCAAACAAGTGATTCCAACAGAAAGACCACCCACACCCCTGTCTAATTGCTTAATCACCTTGTCTCCTTCTACTTTACCCTACTCTCTCTTAAACAATCTCCCACCACTTTCTACCTTCCCAGTTTTTACTCATAAAGTAATGGCACTCAGAAGAGTCTTTTGACAGTTTTTTGAAACTTCATGACTTGTCTCGAAAACTACTCTCCCAAATCAGTCAAAACAGCAGGTTGAGGAAAATTTACACTGCATATGCGGCTCCGCCGTATTTAGTTTACACATTAAGTTATTGCGCTCATAAAAGCCAAAAGTTTATTTTTTTAAGATTAAGATTAAGACCATTAATCCACGGGGGAAAGGACCAAGTACAGCTCATCACGGCGAACCGCTGTTGTGCCCCTGTATAAGAACTACATGCTATTTTTTGGTTATTTTTATGGTCTGGGTAACGTTGCTTCACCCTCAAGCAACGAGCACGGATCATGGTGGGCCTCAAACATCCGACCTTTCGATTGAGAGGCGGAGACGTAACCATTTCACCACTGCTCCCAGGTAATCGAAGTCTTTTTGTTTGTCAGGTATTCAAAATTTTTGTATCTGAAAATCTGGAGTATCTTAAAATCTACCCTCCCAAACAATTTTGGGTTCAATCGAAAACATGGGATGTGAGAAGCTCTCTGACATAAGCGGAAACCCGACTAAATTATTTTAAAAAAAGATTCTGGTCTTCGTAAAAGTCAAATTTTCGAAATTCTGACCGTTTTTAGGAAACTTTACCTTTGCTCAAAAACTACCCTGCAATTTCTCAGCTTAATGGTTCAGTCGAAAAACAAATTGTGCGGTTCTTCGCTTCATAAGCCGGCACGCCTTTTTTGTAAAAAAAAAGTTATAACATTTGGAAAAATCAATTTTTATAATTTTCGTGACCTTTTAAGCATTTTTTTTCAAACCAAATCTGAGATCAAAATTTAAATGGAACACAACGCTTGTAAAAATTTTCCGGCCTAAACCTCGACTATGGATTGACAGCATAAGTGGTTTTAGGGTCAATGGTTCAATCAAAAGAACAGCATGCAAGAAAAGTCCACTACCCCTCTTCAGTTTCAATTTAAGTTCACTTGTAAGAGCAAGCAGCAGGTAACTCCCCTGCACACACGGCTAATCACTCAATTCAGTAGGCAACCAGAAAGAGTTGGGGTTTTTGAAAAATATGAAAAAAAAACCCATTTCATCTCGCATTAAAAAACATTCTAAAAATATCAAACAGGCACCTCCAGCTTTAGTTGGGCTCTTAGATTCAACTATAAAAGAAGTTGCGCTGTAGCTGTAGTTTACCAGCTCTGGTTTTTGATCACGTTTTTTTTGCTTGAACAGTTTCGACTCATGTTTTTTTGGCTTATTGAACTTATGTCGCATAGTTTCATGGGCAAACTTTTAAATGTTTTTGTGTAAGCTTTTTAGTTTAAAGTTTTTTCTAGTTCAGTTTCGTTTTCGATTCAATGAGGATTGACCTAATTTTTTGTTTTTAAAAGAAGCTTTTCCGTTATTTTTTCAGGCTGTTTATGAACGTCATTCAAGCCAAAGATATGAAATTTTTTTGATATAGTTTTTTTCGACCAACATTTTCAGCTTAATTTCGCGAATGTCATGACATCCTTCTTTGCAATTTTTTTATTGTATCGCGAAATTTGCGAAGCTCCACTTAAGCTCTTTTTACCAAATTTAACATTTTAATTTAACAAATAAAAATAATTACAAGTTTATTAGGGATCAATCAATGAGCGTAATGAACACTTAATGTAGGTAGTGTTAATTTTTTTCGTTTTTTCTTTTCAAAAAAAGTCCTTAATTTTGTTCACGCTAAAATTGATACTTTTTGGACTGACTTTTGATATAGGTTTCAGTTCAATTCAAAAAACTTTGCTGAAGGGAAGGCTTTCACTTTTTCCTTTTGTCAGTTGGCTATGTAATGTTGGCTCTGAGTTCTTGATCCTTCGCGGGGTATTACTGAAAACATCCAGTGAAAGATATGTTTTGAGTAATAATTTCAAAAAAACAGCTGAAGCTCAATAAATCTCAGCTCAGTCTCAATCAAAACATTTTGCAACAACTGATTCTTATCTCCGTTAAATACTGGTCTTTATTCATTAAACATACAGTAATTTTTACAAATTCGTTAAAATACACAAAACAACCCTCTTTTTTAGGACGTTCACAATCTGAAGGAAGTTTGAAAGAAACAAACATGAGAGTTACGGCAAAACACATTGACTATCAAAATTTTTTTCAAGCTGATTTCCAATAAGATTAACACTATCACATCAAAAACCGATTAATTTGGGCTATAAAAACAGGTTGCGGTTGTTTACACAAGCGTAGCTTGAGTTATATTATGAACTTTCTTTTTTTCAACCTAAGTCGCAAATGTTGATGCGATGCCATGGTTGCGACAAAATGTGTTCCTTCTGAAAGTGTTCATTTTGATCTAGCTATTAAGTACAGCCAATGCTAGGGATATGAACACAGACTGTTATATTACAAATAGCACTTTAGCTTCAAGGCATCATGGGTCTGTAGCGTAGATGTAAGGAAAGAGAACAGCATCAAAAAAAGAGGGTCCGAAACTGGGCAGGGTCGAATGTTTTTAAAGAACTTTTTTGTATACTAGTTTGAGTGCGTCCGCTCTATAAATTGAGGCATGTTAGTTGGTAAATTTTGGTTTTCAAATTTTCTGGTTCTGCAAATGCGTCCTAATTAGCTTGCGTCACTTAGCAATTATTTAGACTCATAGTTGGCTTGCGTCACATAAAAAATTTTGTTGACTCAAAGTTTAACTCATTCAATTTTTCCCAGTGACGTTATGGGTCATATTTTTGAACTTCGGCTTTGTGTAAAAGCTTGATAACAGTCCACTTTGAAGATGAAAGAAAAAAATCTACTCGCTAATGAAAAACCAAATACATAATTTATCAATTTGAACAAAAACACAAATTTAATAATCTTTCAAAATTATAATAGTGTTTTTTTTTCAAAAAATCAGTGACAATGTGGAACAACATCGCAACAGTGTAAATTTAACTCAAAATCAAAATAAATTGGTTTCGAATGGTGCAAGGAAAAATTTTTCGTTGCTTGTTCACAGTTGTCATCCTGTGTTTTTATCTTCAAACATCAGTTATGAAGATAAAACAGAGTCAGTTATGCGCGATGAAAGCCCCAGTGAACAGCGTGTGAATTTTTAGAATGCCATTCCAATTGTGTAACCCTCCTCAACGCCGAGGGATCGACATTTGGATCTTGTGCCTCTGATGCAAATGTTGGTTGCTCTTAGTATAGCGAATGAAATTCCACATCTCACCCAGCACATGACATGACTGTATGGGCGGTCCCATTTTAATGCCAGATCATCTGCTAGTCGTTTGAGGAAAAACGTGAACTCCGGTGCCGAAACACCATCTATTGAAGTGACAAGTGGAGTGAAAGACATGTGCTTCTCTTCACAAGCTGGTCCATACTTATTTTTCTTCTCAATCTCTTCAGTTTTCAGTACATTCATGGGATTGCAGTTTTGGTAAGACGGAGCGTCAGTGTCTGTAACACGGATGTCGAACGACGCAGACGACAGTCTATCCCAAACCCCACGAGCTGAAAGATCTGCAATTAGTGCCGGGGTTCCATTTTCTACATCTGGTTCTTTTACGACAGGTTCTCTTTTCACATCTTTCCACAAAATTGAAGCAAGATCGCCCACTGCATCTCTTTTTTCGTTGTGTCATAGTGTTACCAGTCCGCCCTTCTTGCAAGAAAGTGCATGCTGTAAGTCAAAATCTTGTTGACATCCATCGCATCTCGAGAAAGAACGTTTGAGTGGTTTTCTGTACCTGACACATAGAGCGTCTCTGAACTCTGTGGCTGACAAATCAAAATTATCCTCAACAAGGGCAGCGAAGTTAGCCACAAGGAACAGTTGTTGTCGATTATTCTCCGGATTGCTCGTTTCTGATCTGCTGGTAAAACTGCAAGCAATTCATTGAGTTTATCTTTGTCCACAGCATTTTGTTTCTCCTCGTGGTTTTTTCTTGCTTCTCTCATCTTTGTTTTGTGTAGAGTTTGGTCGAAATCATCATGGAGAATGATCGAACTCACGAGACAGTCGGTTGCTTCACGTGAAGTGGAAATTGCTAGTTCGGCACCTTCTATTGGATTTCGCACACCTAGTCCCCCTCTTTTGACAGGAAGTGAATATAAAACACGATCTGAGTGTGTGACACTAGAAGTTCCTAGTAAGCTTGGCAAAAAGTTTTCCTCCAACATTTTCTCGAGAGGAGCAAACAACTGCGACGTATCTTTGACTACTCTCTGGACAAAATTCCATTCGCATTGCAGTGATCTTGTTAATCCAACTAAAGCAGCTTGAGGTTCTTTTTCTGCCACTTTGGACAACTCGCCAAGACAATCCAACCATTCTTGAACCTTTTTTAAAGTGAAACGAATTTTGCCTTCATCAGAGCCAAAAAATCCGCCCAAATATCTTCTACCTTCAATTATTCTGATGTCGAACCTGTCAAACAATTGATGAGCTTTTTCAACAAAGTTCGGGTGAATAACCAAATAACTTTTGCTTGGCTCGGGGAAATAGCCATACTTCGGGCCGTTTTCAGTCAAAGATGACAATCATTCAACCAGGTTTTCTAGTGCGCCGAGAGCTCCCGAATCATCTGCATACCATGTTTGTAAATACTTATCTCGGTCTTTGAGTGATTCAATCAATGGCATCAATGAAACCCCATAGAATAACATGGCTAGTGGATCAACCTGTGTAGTGCCTTTACTACTGAAAAGAATTTCTGTCGTTCCTGCAACAATTAGCGGCGGATACCCTCTATATGTGTTGAAAAGAAATCGTGAGCACCTTGGTCAAAGTATATTAGCATTCCATAGAGCCGTTTCCCTTTTCAATGCATTGAATGCATTTGAGGCATCCATCAATAGAAGACCATGTCCGTCCTCTTTGGTGCTATTAAACAACTCCTCCACTGCCTGTACAGCTCCTTCTATTCCTGCTTTCACACCACAAGCTAGTTGTTGAGATCCACAGGTTTCTTCGAGATCTTTTTTGGTCGCTTCGGCCGTACATTTACACATTACTCTTCGCAAACACTCACCTATGCCAATGGGTCTAACTCCGGGCACTTGTCCAAAGCGATCAGACGAACTGAATTCAATGCTCGTATTTGGTTCCATAGAATAATTTCGTTAGCTATCTTTGTGATCAGCGCTGCCACTTCGTCTCTCAAAGCCGAACTGTGTCCTCCAAATCGAAGAAATGCGTCTTTCCAGTGTTCCGAATCTGTCCCTGAAGGTCCGGCTCCACCGTGCATTGACCTCGCAAATTTTTCTATATAAAAAGAAGTGATGGTTACTGTTTCTAACTCAGGCAAGCTGTCTACTTGTATTCTTGCTTCTTCTTTTGACTGTATTGCTACGGGATGCTTTTCTTTCAGAATGTCAATGACTAATTTTCTTGTTTTTGTTGTGGAATCAATAACTTCGTCATTTGGATGGAGCAAACCTCCGCCAGATCTGCTTGTCAGCCAACGCATGGCAGACCGAACTTTCCCTTCCATCATCATTCGTGCAAAAACCACTGCGGTGTGCTCGTCCTTAGATCTGTTTTTTTTTCATAGGTTTCCTCGGTTGTTTTTGTGAACATCGTTTGGCTTCTTGTAGTAGAATATTGAACTTACTATTTTCCCAGTCTTCAAGTTGTCTTCCTATCAAAGCTCTCACATCACGTGTGGTTTTTATCATTGGGTCCCGCTGTAAGATTAATCGGCTGAATACAAGAAGTCGTTCTGAACATTCGTTTTGGTTCAATCGGCAGACTTCTTTCGTTAAAAGATCAACGTATTTACGGCCAATGTTTCCCCCGGGACTAAATACAGTTTGCCTTGGAGGTTCACACTCACAGTCCATCTGTTCCCCCATTCAGTTTCTTGAACTTCCTTAGATATGTCGAGAGACCCTCCAAAGGCGTCAAACAAACAGTTTGTGACGTTTTCTGTAATGGGTACGACAGTATAATGGTCTTGCTCACTGAGGGTCATAACACGAAGCTGTTGAGTCGCCCCTGTATGTTGTTCTTCATTTTCTATTTTGTCTTCGGTTTCGTTGTATGAATCCTCTTGTTCATCGTCACTAACTCTCTGCGACGCAGAAACGGTGTCCTCTTTTGGATTTTCTTCCGAGTGATCACGAAAACCAAAATAAGACGGCGGTCTTATCGCTCTGTCGCTTCTCCTCATCATTTCGTGTCGGGGTTGACAAACTCCTCAATAGTTGCAATAGTTGCGATAGTTGCTATTGTTGCAATAATTACAATAGTTGCAATAGTTGCAATTGTTGCAATAGTTGTCAATGTTGTTGTGGTTGTTGTTGATGATTTTTTTCCCTTTTCTTTTCTTGTTTAACAAGACGCGTGCTAAATCTTCTTGCAATCAAAATGGAACAACACAACTCAAATAATTTTAAATAACATGTTTCATTCATATTTAGATGAATAAAATATAACTTCAGACTAAAATTCAATGTTAATAAAAGATTTATACAAAAAATAGGTTTAAGAATTATTTTTACCACCTTTTAATAAAAAATCAACGCTGACCCCATTTGGTCACTTTTCATAGACAAATTTTGTCTCGACCATTGAAATTGGGAAAGAATTTTGTGTTTGGGTGTGATTTAGTTTTTGCTTTCCATGCAAACTCAGGTGGGGCGAATAATTATCTGAATTGGTCAAGTGATATAGTGTAAGCCCTTTCAGACGTGATTCAAACGGCCTTAATTTTTTTAAAAGATTTATTCCATTTCCGAGCGAGTAATTTTTGTTATATAAAAAATATGAGAGTAAAGCTAGTTTTTAAAGCATCAATTTGCTCGTCCTTGGCAATCAAAAGTTTCTTAAAAAAACAGACCATTATTGTGCAAAAAAACTAAAAACCGTTTTTGTATGATTTTTTTAATGTTTATTTTTGTTTATTAGTCTTTTGTTCATTTGTTAAAGCCAACTGTTGTAGATTATGCTTGCTTAACTAAGTTTCTACTCATTTGTAAAGTTATCTCATCACACGCACAAAAAAAAAACGACACAAAAATGAAAAAAAAAAAACAATTTTTGTTCTTTTTTTTATGTGGTCAGACCGTTGAGTGCTTTTTGTCACTTTCTTAGATGATTTGTTCTTCTTCAAGCTAAATTCACTTTAATTGTTAATGAAAAAATGCAACCAGTTGACTCATACTTGAATCATTGATTAAGTTTCAATAATCTTAAAAAATGTTCGTTTTTTTAAGTAACATCGAGAGATGTTTGATTTCGAGCTTCAATAAAAAAATTACACTGCGGAGCGTAATGTCATATCACATTGTCCACTTTTTCTACCTAAATCGCAAAAACAACTTCATTAAATTAAATGTCTTCACTTGTCCTGTGGCTTTATCAGCATGCGTTCGATATCCGATTCATTAGTGGAAAGTGTTGGACCATCTACAAGAGAACATGGCGCAAGTACGAGGATGCAAGAATCTTAATTTCTAGAAATTGTTTTCTGTGTCAAGAGCAATGGCTGGAAATTTCCGCTTTTCGTGCTGGTATATTGTCAATAAGGACTTCAACTTTAACTTTAATTATAATTGCCGCTCCTGGGCAGTTTCATAGTTGACACTTCCTTGCAGTTTTATTTTATTTCAATCGCCGTTTTCACCAGAAATAACAGGAAATTTCGACTACAGAAATGCAACAAAATTGTTTTCTTTTCTTATTAGAAAAAATTCTTTATTTTAGATTTTCTTCTCTTAAATGTGTTTGGTCTGAACTTTCTGTGCTGCATGCACAGTAACAGGCTATCCTCGTTTAAAATTAGAAATTTCTTGTTATGTTGACGTGAGTTGCTAAATGAAGAAAAGACAGAAAATTTAACTAACATTAACACATAATTACATAATTTCGAAATTGAATTATAAATGATCTTTATTTGGAATTATTTCAAAGTCTATGCTGCAATTGCTTCTAACTAGTATGCGAGTTTTCTTGCCTTCGATCAAGGGAAAATGGTGAATTTCAATGTCAGGCAAATCTCGAAGCAGTTCTGCGAAACAGTCAAAAATTATTCCGTCTTTGTGGAACAAAATAGCTCGTAAATTGTCAAGTTTGAATTCCGATATTTTTTGTTCTGAAGTGTGGTTGTTATCTAAGTCAACTGTGTTTAATGTATCATTTGGGGTTAAAGTCGCATCACTGCCCTGATTCGACTTGATATGCGAATTGTTATTTAACGACGTTGCAGCGTTTTGCGTGGTTTCTGAGATGCTATTCGTGTCGGACACCACACCCGAGTCGCCGTCGGTAACCCCGCTACACTCCGACGTCTGTCGGATCCGAGACGACAACACCTCCACGTGTAAACTGTTCGGAACAAACTTCTTCCGCTGTAGCGAGAGTGACCGTGTTACGCCGTCTCCTTTCGGCGATTCACGAATGGCCAGTTTTGCCCTCGACTCGTTTTTTGAATTCGGCAAAATGGAGTTAATACCAGTTGTATTGTTTATTCTGAAATTTCGTAAATTGGATTTCCTCAATTGGGTCGGCGTTGCGGTTAAGCTTCGATTGTGAATATCCGATAACGATTGCAGAAAATGACCATTTATGGAAGATTTACGAACTTGAACTCGTTCCGACGACATGGCTCTCGTGAAAATTGGCCGACTAAATCCTTCTTCTATTTTCGAACAAACTTCCCCCGAATTAGTTAAAGTAGGGCAATTTTGAAGAGAAACTTTTGAAGACGGTGATTTCTTCTGCTTCGCTCTTGGCAAGGTGCTGCTAATTCCTGAGTTTATGTGGTTACTGCTTGGAATCGAACCGGGGCCATTGGATCGGGAGTCTAGCGATTTTCGCAGACTTCGCTGGTCGTTTAGAGAAAAACAACGTCTTAGTCCAAGAAAGTTTCGGTTTCTTGAGGTCTTGATTATGTGGCGCGATATTGCGTAAGATTCGAACTTTCTTCTGAAATTCCGAACACATGTTTTAGTCGTTGACAAATCGGCGTGAAGAGCTCCGCAAATGTGATTGGTCAATGAACCTGATTGGTCAGCTTCGGAGACAATGAATATCAGAACTTGACTGGCGAAAGTCAGCTCACTAACTGCCAAGGAATCGATTTTGGAAAAATCTGTCATAAAAGACTGATTGCGCGCTATAGTTTCTGACTTTTGGAACATGATTGAATTTTGTTGAGATAATGGAAACTCGATATTTGGAAGTAAACTTAAATTTGGAAACGAAAAAGTATTAGTTTCAAGAGTAATTTTTTAATATTTAGTTTTGTGAAATTTCATTGCGGAAACAAAGGCTTCAGAAAACTCGTTTTTTTTAATTAGCAAAGGTTTCACTAAATTATAAAAGTTCAACAGAGAAACAAAATTACAGGTTAGGTAAAAATAAGTACTTTAATGGTAATAACAGAAGCAACGACTAGAATACGGGAAGTGTAATCACGGCACAAAGCAATTGAGATTAGTTAAAAGCCACTAAAACTAACAACGGCCGAACTGTAACCCCATTTTGCGTTGCCAAAAGTAAATATGTAAAGTCTTTTGTAGATGAATTGGGCCATTATTGAAACAGCTGAAACAAAGAAATTTCTCTGCAAAGAGTTCTAAAAGATTTAACCAGACGGACTTATGAAAAGACACCAGAATTAAAACTAACCAATTGACAGATTTTTAAATTTGACCGTTTTATAACTAAAATGTCAAAAAGTTTTCTAGAAATTTGCACAGAAAACGAAGCTTTCAAGAATCCGGTAAAGTTTTTGACCATAAAAAATATGATAACTTTTGCTGTTTTGCAATTTTGAAGAATTGGGGATAAATTTATTATGTGACAGCTATTCTTTACGTGCATTAGCTATTCTCATTAACCCAAATATATAATGTGGCTGTAATAAGAATTCAAGCCCCCACACACTCAAACGCAATTGATCAAAAGGGATTGAATTGTTTTGGTGAAATGCAGTCAAACCTCTCAAATAAAGGTGAGATAAAACGATACGATAGTCAAATTATTTTAATTTACCTAGCACCAACAAAGTTGAGCGCCTTAAAATACATTAATCACACTGTCGAAGTCACCACAAGCAGAAAAAGGGATTTGAAATATAAAATTGGTCTTTGTTTTGGGCTCACCAAAAAATTAAAAATGTGCTTTTCGTTTCAGATCTATTCGAAAAAAGTTTTTTTTGTTAGATTATTTGCTTCATTTCCAGAAGCGCGTTCAAAAAAATTGATATAAATTTTTTAAGTTAAAATTTATCAACCGAAAAATTGCCATTTTGGCCAGACAAAACAATTAAATTTGTAATATTAGAATACTAGAAAGTTTTTCGTAGAAAAATCACCTTCCTTCCAACCTGTTTTTTTAAACCTTTTTTTAACTGAAGTATCGGTTTAAAAAATTTTCGGCTGCTTGCAGTATGCCCTGTCATGTGAACTATTTTTATCTCGACGGGTGAAAGCAGCTTGTTTGATTGTGTAGCGACGGGGTAATCTATAGCCAAGGCACAATTTCCTGTCAAAGTTGTTTAAGCGTCCGACAAAGAAAGGAAATTGACTTAGTTTGTCGTTTGGACTACAATTGAAGTTGGGGCATATTTTGAACCTACCTCAAATTATTTTCTATATTTAAAGACAGTATTTAATGCGCTAAAGTTTTAAGTTTTCAACGTTTTCTTGAATTTCTTCGCGTTTAAAAATTTTGGAAATTTAAATTTTGGTAACTTCCCTCGAAAAAAGTTTTTATTAGTTTTTACTAGCACCAGTTTACATGCTTGTAATAATTTCTAACCTTTGAGAGTATTTTTTGGTGTAATTTTAATGATCAGACAAAGTTTTTTTTTAAATGAAGGTTGTGCTTGTAAAAAACCGCAAGCAGCGTTTGAAATGTTCTAGTCTGCTGCTGATAATCCTGGATTTACCAAATAATAAGCTGTTTTTTGTAAAGTAAAGCGCGTTTTTCCAAACTAAACAGTCTAAAAATAATATGAAGTTACGGAATCTAGGGAATGTATACGAATTTTCTCTGATGCGCTAGTGATTTTTTAAACTCCCTCCAAACCGTTTTATTGAGCGCTATTTGAGGAAAAGATAAAAAAAACTAGACTAACTGGCGCCATTACGTAACAACACTCTTCAGCTTTGAAAGTTTAACTAAAGGTGCAAAGAAAAATTAAACACTGTCGCATATTTTTTCTGTTTTCATATTATATACTTTTTGTAATAATACTAGTCAAAAATTGTTGTTTTCGCGATTCGCAGAGGATCTATGAAAGTCTATCCAACCTGTCTAAGCATAGTCCGTTTTTTTACAACTCTGTTTTTAATAATCCTTTTGAAATTCTTTCATCAGATAATTTCAGGTTTGACGAAACTACTGTATCGATTTTTTTCGACACGTTGAATTTTTGGGGGGTATCTGTGATAGCTCAAACAGTATTTTGATTTTTAAAATTGCAATCCAATTTTAAACAGATAAAGGTGGAAAAACCTGAATGTGGTGGCAAATCCCGGCATAAATTGACAAATTCAGGGGAATTTTATTTTAATTAGACAGCAGCCAAACTCGCATCTGAATTTTAAAAATGGAAGGGTAAAATACCAATTTCAACCCGTCAATGTGTCTAAACATCCGTCCGCTGAAAAAGTATTCCCTTTCAAAATTGGTTCAACAGGGGTAATGGGTTAACGCATTAAACTGACATTTAGATTTTATTGCCGGAAAAAATGGTGCTAAAATGGTAACAAGACTGCTCGTATCAGGGCGAAGCCCTGAATGTTCCGACTGCCTTTTAAGGTTTATGGAGCAGCAGTAATATTGCCGGAAAAAATGGTGCTAAAATGGTAACAAGACTGCTCGTATCAGGGCGAAGCCCTGAATGTTCCGACTGCCTTTTAAGGTTTATGGAGCAGCAGTAATAGCATAAAAAAATTAAATGAAATAAAATAAAATGAAATTTTTTTTCTAAAATTTGAAATATTTTATGAAAATCATCCCCCCACACGCCATATAAAGTACAAAAAGAGAGATTTCGTTCCTGTAACAAATCAATTATGGCAAATAAGCTTCGTTCAATCAATTTGGAACGATTTATAAGACGGATTAAATCTCCGCTTACGCGTTAATAGCGCGAATTATATCGCGCGTTAATTGTCCCAAATTGCTCAAAATGACCAAAATGGCAATCTTTAAACCCTCATAACTCTACGAAAAATGATCACAGGTGAAATATCTTTTCAAATTTAAGCTCAGGACAACAATATCTTTTGAATGATATAAAAAAAATTCCGTCAAAAATGGCTAGTTGAAAAGTCGAAATTTGTCTGAAGAAAAAAAACCCACCCCGAGCACAAATATTCCGTTACTTTCGTACCGAAAGTCGGAACAATGACCTTATTCTGACGCGTGTTATTCAAACCACGTTGTTTGTACAGTTTTGCCTTTTATTTTTTTTGCGCTGTTGAACCAAGTGAATATTTGAAAAAGTCAATTCGACCAAATTTGGTTTCTAAATCTTTGCAAAAAAATCATAAATTAACTAGATTGCTTTGTTTTAAAACCCAAAAACTTTTTCTAAACTCAAAATACTCATAGATAGATTTATGGAAAAGATATGATATTGTAGTCAACACTATTGAATACCAATAAAGCTCATAAAAACTACCTGTAGTGCAGAAAAAATTTAACTTAATTAAGCATATTTTTCAATTATTGTATGATAAAATTCCATTTTAACCTCAATCTAACAAATTATGGTATGAAAAAAGAAACGTGATGGAAAATTGGAAAACAGTTAGAATAAACTTACCTGCTACTAAACAATAACGGAGATAAAATCGCCAATGGTGCTTTCGCTTTATGCGGGAACTGAAATGGAAAAATATGGTAGTAGCTCTAAGCGCATATGGTAACTATATAACTACGTTATATTTAACATCATTCATACCCAGTGGAAAACAGAAAAGGATATAAAGTACTCTCCACCGAAAGCAAAACAGGGCTGAAATTGCGTTGGGTGCACAAAAAATGGGTGTCACCATTAAATCGACTATCGACCGATTTAGGGAGCAAATATCGATTACATTTCTAGTTGAGTTGATGTAAAAATCATTACAACTATGCAATGCTTTATCGATCTAATTTTCAGAAGAAAAATAATCAGTGATGGATTTGTTTTCAATATGAACGTAATCAGATATTTTAAAAATAGGCGTGTTTGTTTGCTGATTTGTATTTAGATATGCATAAAAGATGACGTAAGCAGCGTATGCTGGCTAAAAATTCGACAATTTGAAAATTTATGTTGTCCTGGTGAAAAATTCGAATAAAAATTTGACAAAAAATTCTAATTTTTTCAAAATCTTACAATATATTTTTCGTTGAATTGTTCTTTTTGATCTACTCCATTGTTTTTTGAAACTAGATACCTTTTCTCAGGTTCAAACATTGAATATTAAGGGGAATTGAGAGCATATAATGCTGAAAATTTCTGACGTAAGAGGGCTCGCTCTAATTTAATTTCCGTTGGAAAGGGCTTCAAATTTTGAAGCAACATAACATGGCATACTTTTATATGACAAGGTTAAGTTGAAATTTAGCCGTTCATTTTCACATGGGAAAATTTATAAAGGAAAGCAGTCGTCTAAATCACGTGAAAAGAAATCCGGTTGAACAAATTTTTCATTTCCAAGTTGAAAAAATAAAGACTTCAAACGCTCTGTGTTGCTATTTGAACTTCCGTCACTTTTTCCAGCGTATTTGGCAAAATTTGTTTGACATTTGTGTTAAATGCATTGATGGATGTGAGGTATTATAAATGTATTTTTGTAATTAGATTTTAAAAAAAAGTACCTGTCGTATAACATTCAATCGTTAACTTTTGTTCTGTGTGATTGGCTGTTGCGCAAAAGCTTCACTTAATTAGGATAGACGAAAAACTCAAAATCAAATGATCGCACCGTCCAAAAAGGAAATACATGTATTATGTAAATATTCAATATAACAGGACTTCAAATTTAGGTTGAGTCTCATATAAGAAAGCGTTGAAAGCTAAAAGGTATTTTGAATGGTATGTAGATAAAAACGAAATTCAAAGCTACCATTTGGAGCACAGGATCTGAGAAGCTTAGTTGGTGGATTATTTGATCAAAATCCTGTCGCGTTGTTAGTCTAAATTCAACCATTTTACAGCTAAAGAGGTGGGCGATTAACAGAAATATGTCTGGACTGTTAAGCCTACAGAACAGCAAGCCGACGTTCAACCAAACCGAAATCAATGACTGCTTTAGATCAGCTCATCTATGGCTATCAACATCCATTTCTATTTGGGGTATTTTTCTGTGCTGAGCTATGTTAATAGTTCTCTGGCAACAAAACACAGATCATGGCGGGCCTCGAACCCCCAACCCTTCGATTAAAAACTATGAGGATAGTATAGCGTCTTCGCCGCTGCTCCCGGTTTTCACATCTGGGCATGATTAGGTCAAAGAGTACCCTGCAGTCTTTCACCCCAGAAAAACTAAGCCCTGGACAAAATAAAACAAAACAAAACCAGGTTAATGATTAATAGTAAGATAAACACGAGGAAAATGTTTCGAATTAGGCTATTGTTTAAATTTTATACATTCAAGCTATTATCGGTGAACTTGTTAAAGTTTCTAATTATTGTTTATACCAAATTTAAAGGTAGTATCTAATTTTTCTTCCAATCTTTTTTCGGCTATTTGAACTGAGGTTTGTTGACCTACCACAGCCACCCTTTGAACCGATTCAAGGGGAAATGCTACATGTAAGCTGGGAATGAAAGCTGAAAGACCTCCTATTTATCACAGGGTAATGGATAAATGTTTGCTGTGTGACCGTCAAAAAGAAATAACCAGCTGCTCTGCAAGTAGGACATAAAACTCTTACAATTCTCATCTAGAGGCGGATCTAGATTTTTTCGCGGGGAGAACGGGGATTCCTGAAAAATGTTCGCAAAAAAATTTACACGATTATACGATCAAATTGTTTTTTTTTCAGGTTCGTGAAAAAAGTTTAAAGACTCTAGAACCTTTACAAGTTTTTGATTTTGTTTTAGAATTTTTGACCACCCGCATCCTCTCATTACGAGGACAAACTGTTCATTGGAAAAACGCACAATTTGAAATCCGAAGACAAGTGCTAAAACATGTTAGAATTTTATGGGCACAATGAAAGGAAGCAGCAGATCAAAAAATTCAGTCGTATTGCGCAATCCGCTTACAGTTCACAAAACACACAGCTTAGCCTCGTTTTTTTAGAGTCATTTTATATCGTTGTTGAAGGCACTTTTGAAAACAAGTTTTGCTCTGTCTTAGCTGGTTGGATTGAAAAGCAATTTTTATTTTTAAAAAAAATGGTTTAAAAATTTTTTCAGTTTGCTTAAAATTTTTGAGTTGTGACGTGCTAATGGTTGTTTTCTTGATCAAGTTTGAAGCTTCTTACTTTGACATCAAGTACTGAAAAACTAGTATTAGTTATTCCTTCAAATATCGATTCTCCATATTTTGTTTGATATCATAGCTTCCACGTCAATTTTTATGTCCAGATTATCACAATCTTACATTTACACAAACGCCTGCAATGGGAATTTATGGAGAATAATGAATGATTTTCGATTTTAGATTTTCACTTTCTGCCTCTTAACTTTCAATTTTTTTTCAAAAAAGATTATATTTGGGTTATAGTTTCACTTTCTGTTAAACCAAATCAACTCAGTTTGATGGATCTTTATTAAAATATTGTATAATAAAATTTTCAAAAAATTGTCTGAACTTTTCTGAAAGTTCAGTATATTCAAAACCTGGCATTTGATTTTAGCTCAACCGAAAATACATTCAACAAAATGAGGACTACTTTTTCTCGGACAATGCATCTATGCTTCTAAATTTTTCTTTTTATGATTTTTTTGTTCTTTGATTTTTTAAATCGGTTTTTGCTGACCTTCTTTTTTTCATTTTTAATCAAATTTACGTATCATTTTTTATTCGGCACAATTGTTTTCTTTTCTCCTCGTTCGCATTATCGTGTTTGAAATCAAAAAAATTGTTGCTAAATTTGCAAATAATTTTGCAAAATTAGATAGCAAATGCAATTTTTTATAATTAGTTTTATTAGATTCTAAATGGACTATAATCGATGATCATGGATTTTAACGACGAGCGTTCTTCTGGAGCAACTCCATAACAATGAGATTAGAGTCAACTTCATGGTATATAATCAACAACAATGACTTATAAAGATTGTGTTTTCGAATTTTTTCCAATTATAGTTCATTTTTATACATGAAACTCCACTGCGAACTCGCATCGTTTTCAGACTATATTGCAATTCAATTTCAAACTATCCGGATCAATTTTCTACCGTCGTGAACAAAACTAATTTTTGAGACCTACTCTCTAATTACAAAAACCTGTCCAGATTTGGACTTAGAAGTCAAGTTTGAAAATAACTCAACAGTTTCGATACGTGTGATGATTAAAGACACATTTTCTTTTCAGTTGAATTTTAATGATCAGTTTTGTCGAAGTTTCCTTCCTATGCTTACTCTATCTGAGAATAGCAACCCACATCAATTATGTTTTAAAATCAGATTCGATCAAAGTAAAATCACAAAATTTGCAGGTCTGCCTTAGATCTTCTGCATGTCAAAAAAATTGTGGGTAGAGATAATTCACGTCTGCATTAGATCTGCTGTTTTATTTCGGGCCCAGGTATTAGCAGATTGAAATCCTGACTCAGGTCTCTCAGACATGAGACAGAGTTGCTCCGACGCACATCAAATCTCACCAGCTCTGAGTCATTCCTACATCAGGGCTGTCCAGATTTTACGTATCTTACAATGCGGCACGCTTCAAGTTAAAGGGCCTGAATTTTTGATGAGAGAAACAAAAATGAGGAAGGCAGGAAATTTTTTTCCACCTTTAAAACGATTTCATTTTAACTGTTAATCAAATATCTGTCGCTTTGCTAGCACACGTTATGAATAAAAACATAATTAAAGGAGGACATATGAAAAATAGTCTCAAAGTTTTGATCATTTTTTATCTAATTTTGAAGTCTCAAAAAAAAAGAAAATTATATCTCATCACAGTGGTTTATCCGCATTTTTGATAACTTTGAAACACAAAAACTGTTGAATTTCTAAAAGTTTTCATTTTTTATTCTAATTTGTTTTTTAGTTAATATTCTAAGGAAAAAAAGTATATCAAATTGACATCAGTAAGTTTGAAACGACTTGAGATCAAAATTAAGTAGCCACTCAAGCTTCGACTGCTTTTTATTAATACCATTCATACCAATTTGACCAGTTTGGGTTAATTAACAAGTTGGAACAATTTGGGACAAACAATGTTATAGCGTGTGGGCCCTCACCGAATGAGGGCTCTTTTTCATTTTCCCCTTCACCTCACTCAAACACGACGTTTTTGGTCTAACGAGTGGTTTTACAAGGTTAATTATGAAGATCAAAAATGTTTGTCTAGGCTTGATTAGTCTGCATGTCATTTTTCATGACAATCGGACAAAATAACCAGAAACTTAAAACATAAAAAATTGCAGGTGGGGGGAAAGGGCAAAAGAGCCCGAATGAGTTCTTTTTTCTGGCGAGAAATATTTAACTTCTATCCTAACAATCTGACCACAATTTCAGTTTGAATTGCTTAAATCAAGCTGGGATTTTCTTGAACTACTTTACTTCAGATCTTTTTTTCTGATCAGACATTAATAAAAAGTCCTGGTGGCGCTCGAACACCCGATCTACCGGTAGTTTGACATTTGCGTTATCCGTTAGGTCACAAGTCCTGAGAATGTATATTAGTTGTAGCAATCTAATAAAATGTAACATTTTTTGTAACAAGTTATATATTGCTACGACTATTCCACCTACAAGTACAAGCATAATAAACGGTTATTTCGTTACGGTTGAGCAGTGAACTGATTTTAAGTTATTCTATATAGATACTGTATATTTCAAAAATAAGATGGGAAAAAATTTCAAATTCTAGCGCCTCAACTTGTATTTGAGGCGCTAGAACAGCATTTACGCATAGAGTAGATGAACAAAAGCATGAAAAACTTAGTTTTGCTCTACGAAAACTAAATTATGAAAACTAATATTAAGCTTCTTTTGCAATCTTAAAAGAAAAAAGAATTTTGCCAATTTTTCTTTTGTTTTCTTTAGTTTTGAATAATACTTTATAAATAGTTATGCTTTATCTACCAACTGTCTAGATGTTGTACGTTCTTGCCAAATATGGCTCATATC